AATGTCAAACACACCAAACAAAGGAAAAGAAGATAAAAGAGAAGAAAAAGAGCAAAAAGGAAGGGACTGCTCTAGCCAAAAAAGGACTACATAGATACAATGACCAAATGCAATATGTGACCCCCAGTGGGATTCCAATTCAAAAGATATAGCCATGGAAAACTTCTTATAACCACCAGGGCCATTTAAATGTGGACTAGACATCAGATGATCTTATTGAACTGTGATTGACTTTCTTAGATGTGATCATGACAGTCTATATGAGAGAATGTCCATTTTCTTAAGAAGTGTCTGTGGACACACTTAGGACTGCAGTGTCGGGATGTCTGCAAATTGCCTTTGGGGTCTCAGCAGGAAGGCAGGAAGGAAGAGACAGAGATGGATGGAGCCATGCAAACACCAAGGTGAAGAGCTGTTGAATCTCAGTGGAAGGTCCCTGAGTCTTCATTATATTTTTAACTTTCTTGAAGTTTTGAATTTTTCATAATAAAAAGTTAGGAAGGAAACATTTTAAAGCAGAGAAACTAGATCTTCCCACAGAACACTGGGGACCCTTATTATCATTTTTTAAACCCTGCTCTTTGCTTTTTCAAAGTGAGTTTTGCTAAAGTAATGGTATCTAGCATTTCTGAGAAATTAACCCAAAGGAACAGCTACATTAGCAACAGGAAATTCAGCACATCTGAGTCATCTATGTAAATGGCAATAATGAAAATGAGGGCTTTCGCTGCATGTCTAAGAAATGTTCTCTTTTGGAGACTCTTCCTTTTGTCTTACACCCAGAACTGTCTCAGAGGAGGTTCAACAGCAGGGCCTCAAGGGACCAGGAGTAGGTGGCAGACATGAGGGAGCTCAAAGAGACCACAGCACCTGCACATGCGTCTTTAGGGCCAAAATGCCACGGACATGCGAGTGCAGAGTGGAACCATCTCCCTGGGAAATATTGATCAACAGGACAGTGCTCCCTTTCGTCAAACAATTTCAGTTAAGGAGCTCATGCCCTTCAAGGTGACACAAAAACAGTAAAATGTGAATTAAATGAGCAGATGTTATGTGTTTAGAATAGTGCCCTAAGTTTTCCCTATTGTTACTCCCAATGACCACTGTAGGACAGGCTATACTAAATGGAAAAGGTAGCATGATAAACAGCGAGCTTAATCTGTATAAGCCAGCAGTTGCGTAAAAGAAAAAAAAAGGTATGAAGGGGGAAAGGGAGGGGAAATACATCCTCTAGCGACACACACGTGCTCAGAAATGCCTGGGCTTTGCTGATGGGCCTAGGATAACTAGATAGGAGAGAAATATACTTCTGCCACATTCTTTTACACTGCTTGAATTTTTTTCTTTACTATGTGTGCATTTTAACTCGTTAATTATACATATATAAATGAACCAGATCCAAAACCTTAAGGTATATAAGTTAGCTCTACTCTGGGTTCTAAATCTCTTTTGTCACCTTGGCTGTGGGGCTTAAAATTAGAATCCTGCATCCTCTTGGGAGACAGCTCAAAAAAAGGCTGGTCTCAGAATGAGGTTTAGAAACCTCCAGCACCTGTTCAGTCTTCTGGGGGAGCCAGTGCAGAGGGGGAATCTATTTTTGTGTTTCATGAAATGATTCCATTTGTGTGTTTCCATTTATACAAAGTTCGGGGAACAAGCAAAATGAATCTGTGGTGGTGGGAGTCAGAATCGTGGCTCTTTTGGGGATGGAGTCAGGTGTGCTGGCTGGAAGAGGGCAGTGAGGGGCCTTCTGGGGACTGTGCATGCTCTAAGTCGTGATCTGGGTTGTGGTTGCCTGGGTGTGCATGTACGCGAACACTTACTGAACTTCCCATTTTAAAAGGGTGCATTTCACTGTCTGTAAATTACCCCATCTAATTAAAGAAAATAGAAAGCAAATTAAATCCGTTCTCTGTAAACTGCATTTGAGCAAAAGCATTAACAAGCTGTGATTGGCAATGAGACATTAGGGAACCCTGCCATTCAATTCTCAGCCACTCCCCAAATCAGGCTGGATTTTGTTTTTCATTTCATGCATAACAGGTATTGGCTTTAAAACTCCAAAGTGCTGTAGATTGACCAGGACAATGTGTGTGGCTGCAGAGAGCAGCAGTTAGTCCCATGGAAGCACAGTCTGGAAGCAGTCTGCTCACTGGACAAAGCTGAATTTGCTGTCTTTCCTTCTCCTTCCTTCTCCTCTTTCTCCTTCTCCTTCTTCCTCCTCCTCCTCTTTTTTTGCAACAGGGTCTCATTCTGTAGCTCAGGCTGGAGTGCAGTGGTGCGATCGTAGCTCACTGTGGCCTTGAACTCCTGAGCTCCAGCCCAGGGTTGCAATCCTCCAGCCTCCCAAGTTGCTAGGACTATGGGTGCACACCACCACACCCAGCTAATTAAAAAAAAATTAGGTCTAGTGCAGTGGCTAACGCCTGTAATTCCAGCACTTTGGGAGGCCAAGATGGGTGGATCACCGAGGTCAGGAGTTCGAGACCAGCCTGGCCAATATGGTGAAGCCCCATCTCTACTAAAAATGCAAAAATTAGCCATGAGTGGTGGCTCACACCTCTAGTCCCAGCTACTCAGGAGGCTGAGGCATGAGAATCGCTTGAACCCAGGAGGTGGAGGTTGCAGTGAGCTGAGATCACGCCATTGCACTCCAGCCTGGGCAACAGAGTGAGACTCGGTCTCAAAAAAAAAAAAAAAAAAAAAAAAAAAAAAGTAAATTATAAAGACAGGGTCGCTATGTTGCCCAGGCTAGAACTGAGCTTTCTAACCATCAAAGCTAACCCCCAGCGAGCCAGCTGCTCCATGAGGTGGTGAGAGCCCTGACCCTGGGGGTGTGCAAACAGGAGGTGAGGGGCGACACAATGAGGGCATCCTGTAGTGACTTTGAGCTTACTTATTTCAACAGGCAGAAAGTTCCTGGCAATAGGATCTCTTTCTTACCTCTCTCTTAGAAATCTACCTGCCAGAGCCCAGCTATGGTTTTGTTACTGTTCATTGACACAAGTAATTAAATGTAAAAGTTACAAATAGGGCTAAATTCCCCTTTGATGGTCACCCCCAGTCCTGGTTCCCTCTTGCCCCAACCGATGAGAGCCAGAGTCGTCATGCATGTCCTTGCAGACTTTTTATGCTTCACAGTTATGTGTGCGTGATCACGGACAACACGGTGCTGTACTGTGTATGTGTCTGTGTGTGTGTTGTTTGTTTTTGTTTTTGTTTTACTAAAGGCATCATGCTGTAAGGCTCATGCTATAAGCTACTTTTGTTTACTCAGCGTCTGTCCCGACAGCTTCGAGATGTCTCATTCTTTTAACTGTGGCATTGACTCCTGGCTCTGCCCTGTGCACCCTGCTTATTCAGGCATCCTCTGCTGTGTGGACATTTACATTGTTTCCAGTGTCTCATTGTCATTAGGGGGCTCACTGAGGAGGAGAATTTCTGGGCAGTGGGTAAGGTTTGTGTTCTGCATTTAACTGACCCTGGCCAGTTGCCCTCCAGAACGCTGCTGCCGGCTCCCTCCCTCCAGCGGGACTTGAGGTTATGTTCTGTAGATCACCTCCTGCTCTTGAGGTTATCAAACATTAAAACTTCGCAACCTGGTGGGTGAAAGTTAGTTTTTCATTGTTCAGTTGTGTTTTTCTGATTTTTGGGAGACTGGACATTTTCTGTGTTTGCTGACCGTTTGCATCTCCTCTCCTGCTCTGTGCACCATTGCCCTGCTCCAGCTGCTTCCCGGAGCCTCCCTCTTTACTCTCCACCTGCCCGCGTCCTCCTCGTCCTTCAGTTTCTTCCTAAGGGCCCATGGGCTTTCTTTGGTTTTTACGTTCCTCTCACTCTGCCTTTGGCTGTTTCTGGGCCTCCCATCTCCTGGGAGGTTTCAGAGGATGGGGAAGGCACAGGAGTACAGTCGCCATGCAGTGCAATACGGGCCAGTGTTCATCCTCCATGGCCTTTATTGAGGACTTACTGTGTGCCAAGAACCTGCTCTAAGAACGTAATTACCTAACTGTGCTCCCTCACTTCATGCTCATAACCTCTTGTGAGACGGGCAATGTTCTCAGCCTTTTTTTTTTTTTTTTTTTTGGAGATGGAGTCTCTGTTGCCCAGGCTGGAGTGCAATGGCACGATCTCGGCTCATTGCAACCTCCGCCTTGCAGGTTCAAGCCATTCTCCTGCCTCAGCCTCCCAAATAGCTGGGACTACAGGCACAGACTGGGACTACAGGCCACCACACCCGGCTAATATTTTTTTTTTTTTTTTTTTTTTTAAGTAGAGATGGGATTTCATCATGTTGCCCAGAGTGGTCTCGAACTCCTGAGCTCAGACAATCCACTCACCTCGGCCTCCCAAAGTGCTAGGATTACAGGCGTGAGCCATCAGGCCCGACCTCATCCTTGTTTTACCTGGAGAACATGGAGGCACAGAGGAGTTCCATAAATTGCCACCAAGGCCTTCCACTGGTGTGCAGCAGAGTCAAGATTCAAACCCAGGCTGTCTGGCCCTGGGGTCCAGCCTCTCCAGTGCTCTGCTAGGTGCTGGACAGGGTCAACGAGACACAGAGAATGAGCACCACCTGATAGACTGGGACAGTCAGGGACGGCTTCCTGGAGGAGGTGACACCTCAATGGAGCCTTGAGGGAAGAGCAGGAGGGGCTGACCAGGCAATGAACAGAATAAGTATAACCAGGAAGAGGGAAAGGCCTGAGTGTTGCTGGGAGGCTGGAGAGCTGGCCTGGCTTGGGATGTGTGCCAGGGGGGCAGGCGATCAGGACCAAGGGATGGCCAGGGCCAGATCTAGACAAGCCTGGGCCATCCCATAGTCGCAGGGCCCGGCAGGCCTTCCACTGCTCTGTGTGTACCCCATGGGACGCCAGGAGCCTGGGCTGCGGCCACCCACCTGGGCTCCTTAGACCCAGTGCGCAGGCATGGGGGCGGGAGTGGGTGTGGCTGATTTACATCCAACAGGTTGAGGGGAAAACCCAGGAAGTGCAGCCCAGGCACTAATCAAATCTAAGACTAATAATAAGCATCCTGAGTAATGAGTGGCCTGGGCCGGAGCAGGCGAGGTGGCCGGAGCCGTGTGGACCAGGAGGAGCGGTGTGAGTAGCCGGGCAGGAGGGCAGGAGGGCAGGAGGGCAGGTGTGAGGTGTGAGGAGGGTTGGGCCTCAGTGCCGTGGGGGTTGGCAGGGTCTGGTGGGTGCAAGACCCACAGCAGATCCACACACTGGGGCAGTCCCAGCCTCCCCAAGCCCCGGCACATGGAGAGCCCTGGATCTGGATGCCTCTGGGGTGTGGGGCTTGCCTTCCGGGAGAGAAGCCATCAAGGCTGCAGGGTTGGCCACACCAGCAGGAATTCCCTTTGTCACCACGGCCCTCCGGACACCCCCCAATTTCCCCCTTACATGCCCGCTGGACCATTTTAATGCTAATCTCAAACACCAGATTGTTTGATTTGTAGAGACCACAGGATCTATTCCTTAAGAACACAAACTCTAAAAACAAAACAAAAAACTAAGCATCATACCATCACCCCAGCTGAAACAACAATTCCTGAACATCATCACATAGCCCGCCAGGGTTCAAACTGCCCCGACTGTCTCATCTATGTCTTTCTCAGTTGATTTGTTCAAATCAGCCTGGCCCACATTAGACTTTTGGCTATGTTTTAATCTATAACAGTTTCTGCCCATTTTTTCCTCGGTTATTTATTTGTTGACAAAATTGGACTATTTATCCTATAGTTTTTTTTGTTTTTTGAGACAGAGTCTTGCTCTGTCACCCAGGCTGGAGTGCAATGGCATGATTTTGGCTTGCTGCAACCTCCGCCTCCAGGGTTCAAGCTATTCTCCTGCCTCAGCCTCCCAAGTGACTGAGATTATAGGTGCTCACCACCACGCCCGGTTAATTTTTTGTATTTTTAGTAGAGATAGGCTTTCGCCATGTTGGCCAGGCTGGTCTCAAACTCCTGACCTCACGTAATCTACCTGCCTCAGCCTCCCAAAGTGCTGGGATTACAGGCGTAAGCCACGGTGCCCGGCCCTTATAGCATTTTTATCATAGTGAGTTTCTAAGGTTTTATGAAAGGGCCCCAGGTCCATCACTGTGCAGACAGAACCCATGGCCAGATGGACCGGGGCACAGCCTAGATTCACAGCCTCTCCCTGCTGCTCTGTCCTACACCCCAGGCAGGGAGCAAATCTGTTCTCCCATCCTCTTTTGTGTCCAGCCACCATGTCCCCAGAATCTACCAAGTCAGGGGCTCAAATACATAAAGTTTCTGAGAGACTTGGACAAGGCAGTGACCAGAGGCTGTCTTGACACAGGATGAAATTGCCCAGGCTTCTGGCACCACGAGTCAGGACCCAGCTAGAACTGTGACCTGGCAGTGGCAGAAGCTGTCTGGGGCTGCCGAATCAGCCCTGAGTCACTCTGGGACCTTGGCTGAGCCGCTTCCCCTCAGTGTAAAATGAAGAAGACTGTCTTTCCTACCAGACATCCCTCAAAAACACAAAAGTGCTTTGATGAAACTACCAGACCCCCTCTTGGGGAGTCACGAGGAAAGGCTCTGAGAAGACCTGCAGTTAGAAAAAACGCCTTGACTTTCTCTAACCCAGTGTTTTTCAAACTAATTTGATCACAGAGATCTTTCTTGGTATAGCACCTGTTAACCAGCCAAGCACGTAAGGAGGGACAAGCAGAGGGCTCTGAGAATCACCCTCCTTGGCTGCTGTCTGGTCTCCGGATGCAGGAGAGAGTTTCCATCTTGCATCCAAATTTGTGGCGGCCCAGAGTGGGAGCCCAGCCCACAGAGCTAGTGTCGGATAGGAGTTCCCTTCCTTCCCTTTCCGTCAATGGAGCTTCTCTCTCAAGCTTCTATTCTGCCTGGCTGGTGTCAGTCATGGGGTTTTCCCACCCTCCTTTGGCACTTGATGATGGTTCTGGGATTTTATGTAGGTCCATATGGTGGTAGAGGAGGGGGCAGGGACAGGCCCACTGGTCAGCTTGGCATCTGCCATCTGGTCAGTCAGGCTCCGTCTCTCCTTCAGGTCCAGTGGCTTTGGTGGCTTCCAGGCAATGAATGGGTCTTGGAACGTCTCCAAGGCTGCCCTTGTCACATAGAACCTCCTGCCCGCCTTCCACTCAACCAACCCTTCACGGTGATATGCGGAGGGTGGCGGCTTTCTCCCTCTTTGCTCCTCCACCCAAATATGGGGAGAATCAGGGGTCTGTCTTTAATTTTGTTTGATCCTTTGATTTTAGATTTGCTTTTGAATAGATAGTATCGTCAGATGGTTTGAAACCCAGAAAGTATTGAAAGATATATAATAGAAAGTCTTTTTTTCTCCTTGTCCTCCATCTGCCAAGTTCCCACCTCCCCTAGAATAAGTAGCTTTATTTACATATAACTTACATGCCGTGAAATTCACCTGTGTAAAGTGTACAAGTCTGTGTTTTTAGTATATTTACAGAGTTGTGCAACCATCACCGTAAGCTAATTTTAGAACATTTCGATGACCCCAAAAAGAAACTTTGTCAGTCTTCATTCCTCCCTAGCCCCAGGCTAATCTACTCTCTGTCTCTATAGATTTGCCTATTTTGGACATTTTCCATAAATGGAATCATATGTGGTGTATTGTGACTAGCTGTTTCCACTTGGCATAATGTTTTCAAGGGCCATCCAAGTTGTAGCAGGTATCAGTACTTCCTTCAGTTTTGTGGCTAAATCACATTCCATTTTATGGATATATCATGTGGCTTATCCAGTCATCAGTGGATGGACATTTGGGATGTTTCTACTTTTTGTCACTGTGATTATTAACAAGGCTTCTATGAACTTTTGGGTTTAAGTTTTAAGTGAGCATGTCTTCTTTTCTCTTAAGTAGACGGATACCTACAAGTGGAATTGCTGGGTCATATGATACATTCTGTGTTTAACATTTAAAGGAACTGCTAAATGCTTTCCAAAGTGGCTGCACTATTTTATAATTCACTTCAGGCATGAGGGTTCTGATTTCTCCACGTCTTCACTGACACTTGTCATTGACCGTCTTTCTCATTCTAGCCATCCCAGGGGGTGTGAGGTAGTATCTCACTGTGGTTTGGATTTGCATTTCCCTAGTGACAAGTGATGTTGAGCATCTTTTGCATGTGCTTTTTGGCCATTTATATGTTTTTTGGGGGAAAATGTCTATGGAAATAGTCCATATAAAAATTGGGTTATTTGTCTTTTCATTATTCTGTTATAAGCATTCTTTATATATTTTGGATACAAGCTCCTTATCAGGTATAAGATTTGTAACTATTTTCACCAAGTTTGTGGATTGTCTTTTTACTTTCTTCATGATTTTCTTTGGAGCACAAAAGTTTTCATTTTGATTAAGTTCAATTTTGATCAATCTTCTCTTCTATCACATGCAAATTTGGTGTCATTGCCTAGCCCCAAATCATGAAGATTTAATTCTATGTTTTCTTCTATGAGTTCTGTGGTTTTAGCTCTTACATGTAAGTCTATGATCTACTTGGATTTAATGTTTGTGTGTGGTGTGAGATAACAGTCCAAATTCATTCTTTTGTACGTGAATACCCAGTTGACCCAGCAATATTTTTGAAAACACTATTCTTTCTCCCATTGAATTGTCTGGGTATCCTTGTTGAAAATCCATTGATCATAACTGTTAGGCTTTATTTTTGAACTCTCAATTTCATTCTATTGATTTATACCTGTCTTGATGCCAGTACCACCCTATCTTTTTTTTTTTTTTTTTTTGAGACGGAGTCTCGCTGTGTGGCCCAGGCTGGAGTGCAGTGGTGCGATCTTGGCTCACTGCAAGCTCCACCTCCTGGGTTCACGCCATTCTCCCGCCTCAGCCTCCGAGTAGCTGGGACTACAGGCGCCCACTACCACACCCGGCTAGTTTTTTGTATTTTTGGTAGAGACGGGATTTCACCATGTTAGCCAGGATGGTCTCGATCTCCTGACCTCATGATCCACCCGCCTCGGCCTCCCAAAGTGCTGGGATACAGGCTTGAGCCACCGCGCCCGGCCCACCCTATCTTAATTAGCATTGTATTGCAATAAGTTTTGAAGTAGGGAACCATGAGTCTTCCAACTATGCTTTGTTTTCTTTCAATCCATGAGCATGGGATGGCTTTCCATTTATTTAAATCTTTAATTTCCTTCAGCAATGTTTTTTAGTTTTCATGTATGTCTCTCATTTCTTTTATTAATTTTTTTCTTAAATATTTTCTTTAAAATAGTGTTTTCGGTTTCTTATTTATTTTTTTTTTAATTTTTTTTTTTTGAGACAGAGTTGCCCAGGCTGAAGTGCAGAGGCACCATCTCTGCTCACTGCAAGCTCCGCCTTCCAGGTTTGCGCCATTCTCCTGCCTCAGCCTCTCGAATAGCTGGGACGACAGCACCCACCACCACACCTGGCTAATTTTTTTTTTTTTTGTATTTTTAGTAGAGACGGGTGTCGCTGTGTTAGCCAGGATGGTCTCGATCTCCTGACCTTGTGATCCGCCAGCTTCGGCCTCCCAAAGTGCTGGGATTACAGGTGTGAGCCACTGTGCCCGGCCTGGTTTCTTATTTTTAACAGAATATTTTTATGCATACATGACCATTTACAAATATGATTAGAACTTTCCCCTTTATTCAAAAATAACCTCCAAAACAAAAACAGGGCCTATGAGCCATGCCATTATATACCTTGTTTTGTTTTTGTTTTTTTAGTTAATATGTCTTGCTGTTCTTTCCATAGCAACATACAGAGAGCTTCCTCATTAGTTTTGTTGATAGCTATATAACAATCTAGTGTATAAATGTACTGTAATTTACTCAGTCAATTCCCTGCTGATGGATATTGGGTTACTTTTAATCTTCTGCTATTACAAATGTTGCTGCAATTGGCCAGACGTGGTGGCTCCCACCTGTAATTCCAGCACTCTGAAAGTCTGAGGCAGGCAGATCACCTGAGGCCAGGAGTTCCAGACCAGCCTGGCCAACATGGTGAAACCCTATCTCTACTAAAAATACAAAAATTAGCCAGGTATGCTGGTAGGTGCCTGTAATCCCAGCTACTCGGGAGGCTGAGACAGG